AAGGCGGCAGACGACCCGTCCCCTTGGCGGTCCCGAACTCCCAGCCCCGGCTGGTAGAGCTGCTATGAAAGAGGCTCCAGCCCGAGCCCCGAGACGCCAGGACCGCACCCGGGAGTCCAGCCCCAGGTTGGGATGCAGGGAAGCCCCGGGATCCGAGTGCTTGCAACGCACGCCTGCGTCCTCAACCTGTGGGCCCACTCGCGGTCTCAGGGACTCCCACGCGTGCAGATCACACGATTGCCCGCGTCCCAGGTCCCACGAGGGCTCGCCTCGCGTCCACGCGAGTGTGGTTGGCCTGTCCCTGGAACTGGAATGGGGCCGCGGCACAGGTGTGAAGGGTCACTTTTCCGGGCCTCCAAGCTGCGGAGAGCATTTTCCAACTCCCGGAGAAATTGCCCAAGGGCGCGAAAGGCCCCGCCCCGTCACATTTCTAGACCGCGATTGTTTTGCTTCGGGCTACTTGGAGGGTGGGGGTAAAAAGCAAACTTTATACACAAGAATGTGGCAGGACACACGGTCCCTGCAAAGTGCTTCTTCTTCTGGGCACTTTACAAAAACCCCCTGTCCTGCTTTCTGCATGGTCAAGGAACAGAATAAAGAAAGCCAGGACTTTTATTTTATACACCACTTGATCTTTGCTTGGGAAACTCTATTAATTGAATGGGTTTGCCTTTTTGGCCAGTCCCCTTTATCATTATTTATGGGCTTTAAATTGTTTAAAGTTCCCTTGACGTTCAATTTACAAGTTTGGGGACTTTTTTTGTTCTGCCTTTTGTCCTGGAGAAAGACATCGTGTTGGAAGGGCTTTGAAAGGCCAAACATGAGAGGTTGACTATGAAAGCCAGGCAGGCGAGATCCCTTTTAATTCTGTCCTGTTGGTGAATGGCTCTTTTACATAATTGCAGGAGCTATTTCAAAGCCAGCCAAGGGCTGACTTCACTTAGAACCACATGGTGTCTATTTTGGGCTTTCAGATTTAAAAAAAAAAAAAGCTGAATAAAATAGTTAAAAAAGACGAGGCTTCAAGGCTTTCTGCTACTTGCAAATTGGTGTGTCTGATGGGGAATTTTACACAAGCACCCCTTTGTAAGTGCATCTTGGGCTGGGGGGGCACTGTTCTGGGTGTGAATCCCAATTGCCCTTCCATAAATAAAACCCATCCCAAGTTGTTTCCCAACTACTGCCAGGAGCAAGAGCTTCAGCAGTGACTGAATGATCAAGCCACTCAAAATCCCTATAAATAAAAACAACCCGGTTGCCCAAGAAACCAGCCTGTCGCCGGCAAGAGAGCATGGTCCACGAGGCCTGCAGGTTTCCAAGTCGGCTGGAGATCCCGGGCCCATGCCACCCTCTCCACGCCCACAGAGCCTGCAGTTCCTCCAGCGGGTTGGGCTTGGCAACCACAGAAAGTTTGCCACTTGAATATTCATTTACTCTTGGGTTTTACATTTCACACACAGCCTTCATACACCTGCATGCAGACTTTGCCTGGGACAGCCCGGAAAGTGCAGAGCCAACACGGTCACCAGCGCTTTCACAGAACATCTAAACCACGTTGTAATTGGCTTAACGATACCCAGGCACGAGGCTGGCATCCATCAGTGGACAGAAAGCTGCTGGGGCCGGGCTGTCTTCAGGGCGAGAGAAGCTTCATGGAAAAAAAAAAAAAAAAAGTTTGCAGAAGTGAACGGAAGTCGGAGGACCCCGCAGTCTCCCATGGGGCACAGCTGCTGTCTTCCTAACTGGAGGAGGCGGGGCTCTTCCAGCAAAGTGGCCAAGGTGCGTGGGGGGGTCCCCCTTGCAGCCTGAGGGAGCTTGGTCACTCAGGATTCTGTGGTTGGAGCCGAGCAGGTAGGAATCAGAAAGATGGATAAGCCATGTACCTGTCGCTCCCTGTCTGAGGAACCACAGACTCCAGAGGCGTTTTTTATCCACAGTCCCCACATTCTGAACGCTCTCCAGGTAGCACAGGTGCCTGGAACGGACCGTGTTAATCACGATGAAACACGAGTGTCCTTTTATGACGGGAACAGTTGTTTTCTGAGCAGTTAAGCATTAGATGAGAAAATATTACTGCCTTGCACTCGAGAAAAGCACACTAGTAAATAAAACTCCTATTGATGAGAAATATCTGAACTCACTAATAAAAGAAGATTAGTATAATAACCCCTGCAGTCAATACTTTCCAGGGCAATTTATGGATGCGAGTAATATGCCATCAAATTATTTCAACTGTAGCTATAATTCAACAGACCTAAATCTTTTTGCTGGACTTTAAGAGGTAGACTCATCACCAAAATAATCAAAGGAATCCCTGTCTCTCTCAGGGTAATCAGACAATGGAAGTCACTAGAACAATATTTCTGTGGAGAAATAGCAAAGTGGATGGCAAACCTGCCCAGGTGAAATGACTAACAGACTCCTGGGCTTTTGAGTGGTAAGCAGAGCAGGCACCCTGTTGTAGCAATGTAAATCAAGGACACATTTATTCTTAGTATTAGAAAGAAGGTAACGGCATGTGACATGTCACTGCAACTACCTCCTGGGGGGGGGATTTATTATTCTCAGGAAGAAATCAGCCCTTTGCCCTGGGCTTCGATTTTGTCCTTTTTCTTTTTCCTTTTCTTTTTTTTACGGTTGTGAGAGCGGAGAGATAGAGCCCTGAAAACCCCGCAGACAACCCCTTCCCCGCAGATCCTAAGGGAATAAATTTCTCCTCGCACTGCCAAAGCCACCTCGGGGTCTGGGCTTCGAGTGAGCGCAGGCAACACAGGCAGTGCCCTAATGAATCCCTTTCACACCGCCTGCTGCCGAAGCCATCTATTACCGCGGCCTGGAGTGGGGAAGCGCGCTGGAGACGTCTTTGTCCGGATGATGGGGAGGGGAGCCGCTGGAAGCCCGCCCGAGTTTTCTCCGGGTCCCGGAGCGCCCTGGACGCACCCTCTCTCTCACCTCCGGGCCCGCGGAGTGGGCAGTGGGTGTCGGACCAGACTCCTCGGGGAGGAGGAAGTCCGGGATTAAGACATCGCCCAGGGGTGGGGGGTTTGGGATTAGAGAAAGAGAGAAGGAACGGGAAAGAAGGGCTTCAAAGAATTGGGTCGATAAATTCATAAAGATCGATTTATCTTTATCTCCCAATTAAATGTGCTTGTAAATGATACATAATACACGTTCAACAAGGGCCAACTCCCCAACCACTAGCTCCTCCGCGTGAGCTGATTTTTAATGACCGACGTGACAATGTCCTCCTCTCCTTTTCCTTGACCTGGTGCTGCGGGCGGTTCGGGGAGGACTTCTACACCCGGGAAGTTGAAGCCAAGGCCCTGGAGGCGCGTGGAAGCCCCGCGCGCGCTGGTGCGCCGTGCATCGTCTGCCGGTGCCACAGAACTGTTTAAGGGAACTCCAGAGCTCAAAGTTTGTAAACACAGGAAGCGGGTATACGAGCATCTCAAGTTTCACCCCAGCCAGCCCCGAATTCCCTCGCTCCCAGATCCTGGAGTCTTTACCATTGTCGAGCACAGGGGAAATAGCTGGTGGAAATCCGCTCCATCCAGCTGTCGGCACAGGGGACCGCGCGCCCTCTATTCCTAGAGCTGGAAATCCGGCCGCGACGCGGGGTGAGCGCTCCCTCAGTCCCCAAGGTGCTTAATTAGCGCCTATTTACAAAACGTAGCTTTTATTTGAGCAAACATCGTAAAGCTTTCATCGGAAGAATCTCACGTTCTACTATCGGCAGGCAGACAACTCCCCCCTTCCTTCCGGAAACCAGAGCGGATAAAGGACTGGCTTTATCATCGTAATTATCGCGGCTGTTATTTTGGCGCGCGCTGGCAAAGTGGGTAAATAGGTGCGATGATTAGGAATGTCATGAAAAGTGAGAAGGGATCGCTCACGCGAGTGGCCCTCTCGGAACAGGGGGACGCCTCAAGCAACCCCCCGGGTTCCCGGAGGCCGCCGGCTGGCTCCCGGCCGGGGGCGGG